TTGCGGAACTGGGAGTTTAAAAGTTGATTTGTGCTTTTTTTTTTCTTTTTTTTAAGATTTTAATCTACAACAACTTGGGGCTCAAACCCACAACGCTTTAAGATCGAGAGTAACCTTACCAAGCCATTTAGGTGCCCCTGATTTGTGCATTCTTGGTGCGTGTGTGCGCACACGTGCGCACATGCATACATTCTTAAGTATGAACCTGCGGCACCTGGCTGGCTCAGTCAGTACAGTGTGCAACTCTTGATCTTGGGGTTGAAAATCCAAGTTCCGTGTTGGAAGTATAGGTTACTTAAAATCTTAAAAAATACACAATGATCCTGTCTCCAGGGATTGTACATTCCAGAGCCTAACCGGACTATGAATAGGTTTAGCAATTTCTCTACTTGCAGATAATCTCAAATTCACTGAAATTTTGGAGTGCCAGAGATGACTGATAAAAAAGCTTTTCATGTGCTTCAGGCCCTAAAATAGCCCCATTCCACCTCCCAACCCAACACCCGTTGCAAATAATTCAAATTCACGCCTTGTCTGGTGGACAATCAGGTTATCGCTCCCATGTATGGGAAAGATCACATGCTGTGCCACCAGAAGTGACCCACAAGTCAGCTTAAGGTTCTCCAGATGTTGACAGCAAAATGAACAGCCTGCTGTGCTTAAGCTATTGTGGACTAAAGTTGTAGCAGTTGGTTGCAAAAAAGGTGGTAGAGTCATCTGAGTCCCCACCTCCCACTCCCATCTAGTTTGAGTGGACTTATTTTTGAAGAAGAGAGAGTGTGAGCAAGGGAGGGGCAGAGACAAATCTGAAGCAGGCTCCAGGCTCTGAGCTGTCAGCACAGAGCCTGATGTGGGGTGTGAGATCATGACCTGAGCCAAAGTCAGTGCTTAACCAACTGAACCACCCAAGTGGCCCCCTAACACTTATGATATATCCTCTAGTCTCCATTTGTAAAGTATTCAAGCCAGGTAGAGGTCTCTGGGATATTCCAGTCTTTGGTTCTTTAGTTTATACATTTAGCTTATTCTTTCAGTAACTATTAGGTATAGAGGAGTGTCTACTTCATCTGCATCAACAAGCTAATAGGCTTGTCAAAGGAAGCTGAACCAGCGGATGAAAGAACAGGCTAGAATCTAGATTCACTCATTCAGTAAATGTTACTTGCTGATATGCTTGGCACTTCGTTTCTCAGGCCAAGTCCCCCCCCATTAAACAGAGCTGTCTGGTTAAGAACCCAAGAGTGGATTCTTAGATGTGAATCTTCTGCTTCTAGCTCTGTGACCTTGAATGAGTTACCTAACCTTTCCAATTTTCTTTTCTTTCTTTTTTTAAGTGGGCTCCATGCCCAACCCACAACCCTGAGATCAAGTCATAAGCTCTACCAACTGAGTGCCAGCCAGGCACTCCTCCAATTTTCTAGTTTTTAGGTGGCCATTTTTTTTTATTATTATTAATTTATTTTGAGAGAGAGGAAGAGGGAGCATTCCAAGCAGGTTCTGACAGAGCCCAATGTGGGGCTCCAACACAGGAAAGGTGAGATCATAACCTGAGCCAAAACCAAAAGTCATGCTTGAAACCTGCTAAGCCACCCAGGCGCCCCCACGTGGTCATTCTTATTTCATAGTATTTTTGTGAGGCTTAAGTGATACAAAACATTTATTCAAGAAATACTGTGTTAAGTTTATTTATTTTTGAGAGCAAGAAAGTGTGAGTAGGGGAGGGGCAGTGAGAGAGGGAGAGGAAGAGAGAGAATCCCAAGCAGGCTCTACACTATTAGCGCAGAGCCTGACACAGAGCTCGAACTCCTGAATCATGAGACCATGACCTGAGCTGAAACTAAGTCAGAAATATTTTTTAAAAATGGAAAAAAAGGGAGCACCTGGGTGGCTCAGTTAAGGGTTTGACTTTGGCTCAGGTTATGATCTCACATTCGTGGGTTTGAGGCCTACGTCAGGCTTTGTGCTGACAGTTCAGAGCCTGGAGCCTACTTCAGATTGTGTCTCTGTCTCTCTCTGCCCCTCCCCTGCTCACACTCTGTCTGTCTCTCTATCAAAAATAAAACATCAAAAACTTTTTTTAAAGAGGGAAAAAAAAATATTGAGTATCTACTATGTGCCAGCCATCTAAGTTTTATATAAATGGCCTTATACTGATAAGGTTGATAGATAACATTTGATCAAAAAACTGAAGAAAGTGAAAGCAAGCCATTTGAATAAATGGGAAAGAGCTTACTAGCAGAGGGAATACCAAGTGTAAATGTCTTCAGGAAACTGCCTGGCATGTCACAGAAAAAGCAAAGCAATCTGGCTATATTCAAGTGAAGTAGGGGGAAGTGGTTTAGATATATAATACTTTATATGAAATCCTTAAGACCTTACTTGCTTTGGAATTGATTTTTACTTTAGAACAGTAATATAGAGCATATACTATTTAATATATAACATCCTTAGAGGGATCTGGAGCAGCACCCAGGATAAAACACATTACTATTTCTGCAGCACAATGCAAGAACAGTCATGTAAATTACCCAACATGAGTTTCGTGTCAGGTTTTTTGCCATATGCGTTCCAAAAATCTTTGGTTTAGAGCTGTTTTATTTGTCATCTTCAGATAAGAGATTGTGTATCGGGGTGCCTGGGTGGCTCAGTTGGTTAAGTGACCG